TCCTGGGCCTCTTCCTGGACACTAGGGGGCCAGGAACAGTTAGAAGCGAGCACAATTAGAAATGAGCACGATTAGAAATGAGCGACGTGTACGCAAGGGCCGAGGTTCGAGAATGCGGGTTCGAGGATCGATGTGTTTGGATGTTTCTGGCCCGTTTCGGACCTCTGGCATCCTGGGGGGGCTCCTCGTCGCCACGGCTGGATGCCCTCCGAGGTTCTGGCCAGAGCGCATCCCTGGACAGGTCCAGGGGTCGACCTTTGACCCTGGGCCCAGACATCCCTCGACACACACAGACACTGATAAACGTCGACCTCCAGGAAAGTATGGAAGTATGGGAAGTGGAGGGGAAGACGAGAATCCGAAACAGATAGAGCATATGGGAATCGTGGGACTCGTATTTCCTTATTCAGGACCGCGGGGCTTTCGCTGTGTGGTGCATCCGAGGGCCGGTCTCGGTCCCCATGGCCATGGAAAACACGACGAGGGACGAAAAGCTGGCCCCGGGCGCGGCGTCGAGAAGTGCAGGGGCCGAAATTCTGGTCACATCAAGCCGCTGGATTTCGAGGTGGATCTCTGAAACCGAACGCCCCCTTCTGATTTCCAAGCGACTGCCCCCCTTCTTCGAATTAACGTTCGGGGCGTCCTCCGCGCGTTAACGAGACGCGGCCCCCGAAGCCCCTGCTGACAGAAGCGAGGGCGAGCACGGATACAAGAAAGAGTGCGGACGGCAGTGCGGATGAGAGTGTGAGTGCGAATGGACGTCTGGCTGCAGCACGCTGCTCGAAGCGGGGATGCGAGCGCGGGTGCGAATGCAATGGCGAGAGTGAATGCGAGCACGACATTGCGCACGGGACGACTGCGAGAACAGGAACGACCTCCGATACGAATCATAATGCGAGCGCGACTGCGACGAGTACAAACGTGAACGCGAACACGTGCCCGCACACAGACGCGACTTTCAACAACAGCAGCAGCAGTAGCAGCAACAACGACAACGACGACAACAGCAACACCACCAACAACAGCAGCCTCAACAACAATAGCACCACCAGCAACCTAACCAGCAGCAACGACAACAGCAACAACAGCAATGACAGCAACAACAACAGCAGCAGCAACAACAACAGCAGCAACAGCAGCAGCAGCAGCAACAACAGCAACGGGGGTGGTCCGCGGCCGCCTGGGGCGCACGCGCTTCCCGTCCCGCCCCGGAACTTCCATCGGCCCAGAGCCAGTCGTTTGGGTGCACGAGCGCGTGGTGCTACAGTCAACCCGATTAGTAAGGATGGGCCACCTTCCCCCCAAGGGTACCCATTGTTCATTCCCAATTATTCGAGAGTTCTTTGATTTTTTGGGGACCAAGATCCTTTCATTTCTAATTGTTCTGTCCTGGGCCTCTTCCTGGCCACCAGGGGTCCATGAACAATTAGAAACGAGCACAATTAGAAATGAGCACGATTAGAAATGAACGACGTGTACCCTTGCATCCTTGTCCCTTCGGTTCATCCTTGGCGACTTTCGCTGGCCAGCCTCGTTCGAAAGACGTTATCGTGGCCCTCCAAGGCCCTTGCATCCTTGCCGCGCTTCCTTATGATGCGGGTTGACTGTATGCCCTCGTCGTCCGCGTTCGGGGTCGCATGGCGTGGAGTTTCCCTTCGGGGCTCATCCGCTCACGCTGGAGCGGTGCAGAGAACGGGAGGCGCTCCAGAGAAGGGCCCTGCCCTCGAGGATCGGGGGAGCAGGCGTCTCCTCCTCGGCGGCAGGCGGCGGAAGGGCGGCGGAAGGTCGGCGGAAGCAAAACGAGGCCGTCTCCGCCAGCGGAAGGCCGGCGGAAGGCCGGCGGAAGGCGGCGAGAGTAAAAGATGCGCCCCAAAGGCAGAGCACACAATCGACCTGGAACCTCGGACCTCGAACCCTCGAACCCCCAGCCCCGATCCTCGAACCTCGAACCTCGAACCCTCGAACCCCGAACCTCGATCTTCGAACCTCAAGCCTCGGATCCTCCTCTTGGGAGGGCTGGCGGCAGGCGGCGGCAGCCGCGGAGACGCCTTCCAGGGGGCGCAGATCCCGCAGCCGCCGGCGCCGAGGGGGGCCAGGCGCAAGGCCGGCGGAAGGCGGTGAAAACGTTTTCGGGTTCAGGGTTCCCGGAATCCGCCAAATGAGCGTGGCCCCTGCGCAGGGGGTGATCGGCACACATCGAGAAGCGTGTGCAACTCAGCACCGCGTTGCTTGCCCCATGTCGGATCCGCTTGCGTGGTTGAGTTAAGTTTACTGCTTGCCCGCAGCGCACGGATGGGAGTCATGCGCTTGCTTCCCCGGGAGCGTGAGCACCTTTTGCTGCGCACTGAAGCCTGTAACGCTCAGGAACTTCCAGTGCAGCCGCCCGTAGCATAAATCCTCGCGTAGCGACCCTTTTGCTAGTGGCCGTCGACTGCTTTGAACACGCGGGGCGCAGTGCTCTCCATGCAGTGCGTTGCCCAGCCTGGTCTCCACTGGTGGACGAGGCAGGCTGCGAGGACGCGCGCGCGCGCGCGAGCGAACGCCCTTGTCCCAGATGCACGCGGGCGCCGGCGAGACCCGTGGCGAGCCCCGTCATCACTGGAGGATGCTGGAGCCGGCGGCCTGGGGGGGAGCGCGCCCCCGTGCCCGCCCCTGCCCCCCTTGGTGCGGGCGAGGCGACGCCCGGGGCGAGGTGAGCCCGGGGCGAAGCGCAACCCGGGGCGAAGCGAACCCTGGGGTGAAGCGCAACCCGGGGCGAAGCGAGCTCTGCCGCGCCCGCGCCCACGCCCCCGCCGCCTCTCTGCGCCCCTCTGCCCCTCTCTGCGCCCCGATGCGCCCCTCGCTGCGCCTCCGCGCCCCTGCCGCCTTCTTGCGCACGGGCGCGCCCGACCTCCTCCCGCCTCGGGCCCGCGCGCTCTTCCCTGCCCTCCTCTGGGGAGCAGGAGGCGCGCCACCACCACCACCACCCAGGGGGGGGTTCAGGAGGAGCCGGTGTGCAGGAATCGGGTGTGTACGACGTCCCTCGAGGGAGCCTGAAACGATCATCTACACCACCACCCCTGACCACCCTCTGCCTCCATCCTCCAGGTGGTGGTGGCGGTGGTGGTGTGTTTCCTTTTCTCTCTCCTCCGGCGTGCCGTGGCGGGGGGTCATGCGGCATCCTCTGCGCGCCGCCGATGAGACGACAGCGCCACGAGTGCACGCTGCGCACGCACGTCTAAGGGCCTCTCCGTCTGGTGTTCCTGAAGTCCGACCCGATAAAATCGCCACGCGGCGACGCGACACTGCGGCCAGGGCTCTCGTCGACATCTCTCGGCGACGTCTCTCGGCGAGTTTCGAGCTGGAGCTACCCATCAGGGCCCTTTCGGCCCGAAAGCAGGGGATGTTCTGGTTGCGATCTTTCAAGGCGCCCTGGCCTGAGGGTCTCCCCTGCCCCCTCCCAGGCCTACGACGTCGTGCTCCTCTTCCAGACGCGGCCTGCGCAGCTTCCGACCCTTTTTCGTGGACGAGTTTTTTTTTCATCCCGAGCGGTTTTTTGATGGTCGTGCCTGCGCCTGTGGGGGCTCGTACGGACAAGGACGGAAGGACCTGGCTTGGGCTGAGGTGTCGCGTCGCCCCAGGTGTCGCTGGCCTCGCATGCTACGATTTCGGGTCGCCGCCGCCAGGACCCCAGGTCCCGTTGGCCCTCCCACGTCTCGAGCCTCTGGGATCATCCAGCGTGATTGTGCCCAGGGCTGGACCGAAACAGTGTTTTGGTGATTTCGTGGGCCGTTTTCGGTTCGACTTTTTTTTGCGGAAGAGGTGGACTGAAAACAAAACGAGGGAAAACGAAAACAAAACGACAACGAAAAATACCGTTTAGGTTCAGCCCTGATTGTGCCCCCCAGCGCCATTGTTCCCGCGACGCTGGAGGTGGGGCTGCCGGGCCTCGAGAGGGGGCGCTGGCCGCGGCGACGTGCAGCCTCTCCCGGACGCGGATGCCCCAGCGAGGGCGAACGTCGCGTCCAGAGGCCTCGACGAACGTCGAACCTCGAGGGGATCGTTTTCTGATTCCTTTTTCGTGGACGGGCTTTTCATCCCGAGCGGTTTTCTCTCGAGGGGATCGTTTTCTGAGTCCTTTTTCGTGGACTGGTTTTTCATCCCGAGCGGTTTTCTGATGGTGGCCTCGGGGCCCCAGCAGTGGCGAACTGCCCCCCCAGCGCGATTGCTCCCGCGACGCTGGAGGTGGGGCTTCCGGGCCTCGATAGGAGGGCGCTGGCCGCGGCGACGAGCAGCCTCTCCCGGCTGCGGATGCCCCAGCGAGGGCGAACAGAGCGCCCGGAGAGACCTCGACGACCGTCGAACCTCGAGGGGATCGTTTTCTGATCCCTTGTTTTGCCGATCGGCGCGGGCCCTCGCACCCCCCCTCCCCTCCCCCCCCAGCGAGGGCGAACAGCGTCCAGAGACCTCGACGAACGTCGAACCTCGAGTAAGGGACCGGACTCTATACACCGACGTTTTTTGCGGCCCCGCACTGCAATTCGCACAAGAGAGCGGATCCTGGCGTGTACGGGATCCTGGTGTACACATGTTTCGTTGTCTCCACGGGAAAACGGGGAGAATAGTGTGCACCACACCACTCCGACGTCGTCCCCGACCCTCAAAAAGTTCTGGGATTGAAAAACAGCCCGCCGCTGGTAATGTGTATGTTCCAGTTTCCGATCGAGGGGATCGTTTTCTGATTTCTTGTGTTGCCGATCGGCGCGGGCCCTCGCACCCCCCCTCCCTCCCCCCCTCCCGTGGGGTAGATCTTGGCTGTTTTTGGCTCCTCTTTCAAGCCGGTGGGGCCTCCCCCACAGGACGCACTGCCGCAAACGGTCGCAGGAAGCAGAGGTCCAGGGCCAGGCCCCCCCCCCCCCCCCCCTCCCCTCTCCCCTTCCGCCCCATGCAGACGCTCACGAGAGCCTCTGCCCCCTCGTCCCCGGCCTCGCTCCTCGGGCGCGCCGCCAGCGCGCCTCCAGGACGCGCAGCATCCTCTGCGCTCCGCTGAAGACCCGGAGGGGCTCGGTCCGCGCGGCGGGGAGGGGGCGCGCGCGGGGCTGCCACGGGCCCGGGGAGCCACGGCGAGCGGCGGGTTGCCCGGAGGCGTGTGCGGCGGCGACGGCGGCGGCGAAGGCGTGCGGCGACGACGGCGGCGACGACGACGGCGCTGGCGTGCGGCGGAAGGTCTCCGCCCGCCGCTCGTCCTCGCTTCCTCCTCCGCCTCCTCTGCCTTCCGCCTTCTCGTGTTCGTCTTCCTCGTCCTCGTCCTCGTCCTCGTGCTGGTCTCCGGCCTGTCCTCGTGCTGCTTGTGGTGGTCCAGGTGCCAGTCCTGGTCTTGGTCCTCGTCGTTGTCCCTGTCCTTGTCCTTGTCTTCGTCCTGGACCCCGTCCTGGTCCCCGTCCCTGTCCGTGTCCTCGTCCGTCAGCCCCCTCTCCCTCTCCGCCTTCGTCCTCCCACTATCCTCCTGCTGCTGCTCCTCTTCCTCATCCTTGTCTTTCTCCCCCATCACTTGTCCTTCCAGGTAAGTTCTCCCTGTCGCACCCTCAGGCGTGTCGGTCGGGCGGGCCAGGTGTTCCACCAGAGACTTTCTTGCCACAGGTGGTTCTGAAGCATGAGTATGGTAACTTTAGTTGCCTCGATACGCCCGTTTTGAAACGCAACACGTCCCGTGTTCAAGACGTCCGTGTCAGTACGTTGCGTGTTGGCTCCACGTATTGGACCACGTTTTGGCGAATGTATCGCGTCGGACCTACGTTTTCAGCCTACATGTTGAGCTCCGTATCAATGATTACGATACGTGCTGCGTGTTGCGTATTGGGGCAGCTAAGATGACAACCGATAGACGATTTTCACCATGGGGTTCTCGCCTTAGCGCCGCGCACCTTTGTATTCAGAGCTTGCAATAGTGACCGGGATGGTCAGGACGGCCGCTTTTCAACATGCGGCTCTCGCCCCAGCGCCGCACGCGCTTGTCGTTAACGCTTGCAATAGATATAGGGACAGATAACGGCTGCTTTTCAAATTGCGGCTCTCGTTTGAGGCTTCCACAATTTGGCCGGCTAGAAGATGTAGTAGCTTTGAGGGCGATTCTTTTTTAAAGTCGGCTCTCGCCGTAGTTCCCGTCTAATTCAATGCCCAGACGTGGCAGATGTGTGCAACGCTTGCCGGACGGGGGCGGTTCCTTTTCAAAGCGGGCTCTCGCTGGACATATCGTTGAGCTTTTTGATCGTACTTGTTCGAATTACTCTTACTCGTTGGGGGGATGCAAGGCAGATCCTTTTGAAAAAGGCGCTCTCGACTGATTGGCAAGGCCGCAGGGTGCTCGTCTTTCAAGCTTGTAGCGAAAAAAGAAAAGTTGTAAGTGTATGCGAGGAGGCGGCTCCGAACGGGAGGGTGTATCAGCATCGTTGAAGCATCCCGGGTTTATTCTGGACCGCCTCCTACCCTTTGGCAGGCGGTGATGGGGATCGGGACCGTCATCCAGAGGCGTTCGGGAGCATCCGTTGTGCGAACTCTTGGCGGGGCTACCCTGGCGGCCCTCTCGCCTTGTCATAGACTTGGCAAGACTTCCCGCCTTTGCCGACTTAACTGGTGATTACGACGAGAAGAGCGGGCCTCAGTAGTGTGAGAATGGAGCGGGATGAGGAGGAGGAGGAGGGCGGGAGTTGGAGGAGGAGGGCCAGGAGGAGGAGGAGGAGGAGGAGGAGGAGGAGGAGGAGGAGGAGGAGGAGGAGGAGAGGAAGGAGGAGGAGGAGGAGGAGGAGGAGAGGAGGAGGAGGAGGAGGAGGAGGAGGAGGAGGAGGAGGAGGGGGGGAGGGGGGGGAGGAAGAGGAGGGGGAGGGGGGGATACATGGGAGTGGGATCACCGATCTGGGGCCAAGGATGGGGGCCTGGCCAGGAGGCCAGGATGGGGGGCTTCCAGAGGTGCGCGGGGGCTTTTGCGAAGGCTTCTCAGAAGGCCGCCCCGGTGGCGTCCTCCCCGCCGCGTGCGCGCTGCCGACGATCGCTCGGGAGGCCTACTGAGAAACTGTTCACGCATGACGTGGCTGGCTTGGGCGAGAGCTGGATGCACACGTGGACATGTCTTTCCAGCGCTGCCGGCCCTCCGCGTATGCATCCATCGACTACACGTAAGAGTGACCTTTCGCCAGAGTGACCGTTGGTGCGGGCCCAATGGGGCCCCCCGATCGCTGAATGCGATGCGGCAGCAGCGGCTTGCGCGCCTGGTGGTGTCCCCACAGGGCCCCCCCCCTTGGCCTCACACTGGGGGTCACTCTTGCCTGGGGTCACCCCTGCGTGTAGCCGAATCCAGCGTGTGGCCTGCAGGTGTTCCACACGTCAATCCAGCCGTCGTCGTCGTTGTCGCCGCTCGGCGGCGCCGGGCAACGCCGCTGGCCTGACAGGGCCGCCAGAAACATGACGAGACCCAGTCCGAAACTTGACGCGAGCTCCCGCTGCAGACCTCCCACGAGAGCATTGGACCTCCGATCTGCAGCACGCGGGCTCGCCCCAGAGCGGCGGTGAGCCCGAGCTCCAGCGCACTCGAGTCTTACGTTCCCCCGATCCCCCGATCCTGATCCTTCCTCCTCCTGGTGCTGTCGCCGCCGTCGTCGTCGTCGTCGTCGTCGTCGTCGTCGTCGTCGTCGTCGTCGTCGTGGTCGTTGTCGTGGTCGTCGTCGTCGCCGTCCGGCGGCGCCGCGCAGCGCCTCGCCGCCGGCGGCGAGGGGCCGGCCTGCGAGGCGGAGGCCTTGCCCCACGGGGCAGCGGCCCCGACGGCGGCGAGGGTCTGCGGGATCGGGGAGGCGCCAGGCTCGAGCGGCGGCGAGGCTCGATCGGCGGCGAGCGAGCGAGCGGAGTTGCGGCGAGCGAGCGATGGAGGGGCGGCGGCGAGCGAGGCTCCATCGGCGGCGAGCGAGGGGCGGCGAGACTCCATCTCGGCGGCGGGCGAGCGAGCGAGCGAGGCGCGGCGGCGAGCGAGCGAGCGAGGGGCCATTTTGTGCTTCTAGCGCCCCGACAGGCCATCCCCAACGGGCGCGAGGGCGGTCGCGCATCGCGCCTCGCGGCCCGGGGCCGCGAGGGGTGCCCCATCCTCCAGGGCGAGGGCGCGGACACGGCCGCGCGCGCGCGCAGCGTGGGGCGCGGAGCGCGGAGCGGCGGCGAGCGAGGAGGGGGAAGCGAGAAGGCGAAGGCCGTCTCGGAACGCGGCGGGGCTTTTGATTTTCTGTGCCCTCGGGGCAGGCTTAGAGCCTTTTTTTTAGATAGATTCGGGCAAGTTTACTTGCATGGCTTCGCCCCCCCCCCCCCCCCTCTGGCCCCTCTCCGCACGAATACTAGCGTGCAAGTGCCTTTCGACATGCGTGATTTCCGCACGTGCAAGTCGTTTGCGGCTTGCTTGAGGTTCAGCCCCCCCCCCGTCCATGCAAGTAAATTTGCCGGGGTCTGAAGAATCAGGTTCTTAGACAACTTCTCAGAATGCCGGGGGACTTCCAAGCCTTCTGACAAGGCCCGCCCCTTCTCACTGCCCCTCCTGGCTACGCCGCCGACAGGCGTGGGCGAAGGTGGGGTGGCCACCCGAGGAGGGCTTCGCTGCAGAGTCGCCTCGGGCATCGTGCGCCATCCCAATTGTCACAGAGAGAGGTGGAGCCAATGTCTCCCGTCACTGCGCAGCGCGGGCCGCCTGAGGGGCCTTTGGGGCACAGGGGAGGTCTGGGCCTGCTGGATGGGGTCTGGGGTCGGCGTAGATAGGGTCGGAAGATGGCGCCGCATCGCCGATGTATCGCCGATGCGGCTCGATGCGGCGCTCGACTTTCTTCACGTGGACGTCGCCGATGCATTGCCGACGTCGCCGATGCATCGAAGGTGCATCGCCGATGCATCGCCGATGCATCGCCGATGCATCTCCGGTGCGGCTCGATCCTCCGACCCCATCTGCTCCGACCCCATCGGGGAGGCCTCCAGGAGGCGGCCTGGCCTTCTGAGATGGTTGGGAGGCTTTCTCCAAGGACCGACCACAATGCTGTTTCGCTTGGTTTTGGCCCTTGTTTTGTGATTCGTTTCGTTTTTCGTTGTTGTTTCGTTTCGTTGTTCGTTGTTGCTATAAACGCCCCGTTTCGTCGTTCGTTTTCGCTTGGCACCGGCTCCGTTTTAAGCAATCGTTTCAAACGCTGGGTCTCGTTTCGTTGTTCGTTGTAAGCGCCATTTCGTTTTAAACATCGTTGTGGTCGGCCCCTGGCTTTCTCGGAAGGGCTCGGAGGCTTCTCAGAAGGCCCCGCCCGTTCGCGCCGACGGCTTCTTCTCGTGAAGGTCGCTGGAGTGCTCGCGCGCCCGCCCGCTCGGTCGCATGCCGCTTTGGCTTTTTTTTGTCCGAGCATTATCTTTGGGTTGAAGGCAAAGGGTGAAATCTGAAATGCCGTTTCGATGGACTTTCGAGGCTTGAATCTGCGAGAGGTGAATCACAAGACGGATTGGTTTTCGAGGTGCAAAAGCCCACATGGATCCTGAGCCCTCCACCCTAAGAAAATGCTCAGTTTTTGCTGCTCCGTCACGGAGCCCCGCGCCGCTTGCCATTTCTTTGCGTTGTCGACAGCAAGGCGACGAGGATGCGCACGGCGCCCTCCCCCCGATTAGGCCAGGCACGCAGAGGAGGGAGAATCGATAATGTGAAGTCAAGTGGCCCTTTTTCCCTGCACGCAAGGGGCTTCCACATCGATGCGGCAACGCCTGCGATAGAAATGTGGGCAGAGTTTGTCTCATCCTGTTGCTCCCTTCTTCAGTGCACTGCACTCCGCGTAGGCATTCGGCCCAACGCGCTCAGGCAGCTGGGCTAGACCCAGGGTGCCAAGCTCCTGGGGGGCCACGCGACAAAGTGGTACACGCCGTCTCCACTACCATCTCCCCCCCTCCCGGCAGGTCATGGGCGTGGTCGAGCTCATCAACAAGACGTCCGACGGAGCCCTCCTGCGCAGCAGCCCTGAGGCTGCCCGGGGGGCGGCGCGGCCTCGCCCCTGGGGATCGCGGCGCGGTGCCGATATCCTCTCGCCAGCCTCCACCAGGGCCTGGCGCGAGGCCCCGGCGGCCGGGGGCGCTCCTCTCGACGCCGTGCGGCCATTCCCCCAGATCCGAGGGAGCGAAAACGCAATAAACAGAAACTTTTGGCGCTCCGCGCGGATTTCCTGGATCCGCGCTGAGCCCCCCCTGGCGGCGCCTCTGGCGCCGCCCCTGGCTCCGCGCGCCAGGGAGGGGGGGTCAGCGCGGATCCAGGAAATCCGCGCGGACCGTCGAACGTTTATGTTCATGCCGTTTTTTCTTCTTCTGCTGGCGCTGGTGTTGTGCTGCCAGAGGCGTTCCTGGCCCTGGCACCCCTCACGAGGCCCAGAAGGCCCATGGGGCTCCAGAATGGCGCGAGAAGGTGGGGGGTTACTTCAGCAGGCTCTGAAGCAGGGACTTCGAGTCGGCAACTGTCGTCGGCGCTGCCCTGTGGTCCGTGCGGGGCTCATGTGGCTATCCCGGACGGCACCTGGCGTTGCAGAGCTTCCGTATGCAGCAGGTCTTGCTGTCCTTCATCAGCCACGTGTTGGACCCTGGCGCAATGACACCGCTCAAACACATTTGCGGAGCTTAGGCTCGTGCAGAATGGGAGGAGTAGGATGAGGCGGACGATGAGGAGGTGTTACAATGAGCATACCTAGGTGATTTTGGAGTATTATTGCTCTCGCCGCCGTTTTGGCCCAAACTCTACATGCCAGTGGAGCCTCGATATCACCAGGCATCCTGAAACATGTCCTCCTAGGCAATTTGTGCGATAGCGGAGTTAGCTTAACGTGCCACTCGACCACCAGACGCACAAGTACCGGTCAGTCGCGAGTGATACAAGTTGAGCCTCGGGTCGGTCTACGACAACTGTAGGCTCGCAGTGGAGAATGGCGAAAACAGTTCCATACAGGCAGCTACTCTTACGATGTTGCGACCCTGTTGCGCTTTGTTTTGATCCCGCGATGTGCTCCCCGTCCCGTTTTGGCAATGCGTTTGTAGTGTCGACGATGAGATGTCCACGTTGACAGGAAACATCGATTGTGTATTGTTTCCTGATGGGTAGGATGACCCCCCTGGATCTGGTGGTTATCGGTCAGCCCGGTGGCAGCATGGGGGCACAGACTGACAGGGAATGAAGAAGAGGTCGATCGATCGATCGACTCTTCAGAGGGGCGCCGTCCGTTTGTATTACCACGGGGTGGGTCAGCTCCGCTCTCCTCTAGAGTGCGCCTTAACTCCTGAGAGGGGGCCAAGCGTGGCTTCGAGCACTTTGCTCCCACCCATCCCCTACCACGACTGGTTTGCCACGATTCGAAGAGGGCAGGCCGTAGGGCGGGACGCTCGGGGGGGTTGGGGGGATGAGCAAAAGGCAGATCCGCTAGACCGGCAGGTCCAAGACTGAAAAAGCAACAGGCCCCACGAAGCACGGCCGAAGGACCACCGGGTCAACTTGTTTCGTGAAGCGAGGGCAGAGGCCAGCGTCGAAAACCCGACGGGAACGCAACAACTTGCTGGCCTCCATGGCGGAGCTCCAAGAGGTTCAGGATCTGCGTGGGGGGGAGAGGATTCTGGGAGGACGAGTGGGGAATGGGTCTCATGCTGGGCTCCCTTGAGGGCTCATCTCTTCTCTGGTTGAGCTGGCGGGGTCATCGACGCAGTCTCGTGTGCCTGAGCGTCCTCGGCGATAGCCTTCTGTGTTGCACTCCACGGTCTCGTGGCCCCAGTGGTCGCGGCAACCGATGCAGGACTCCGCCCGACTCCTGAGCCTCTCACTGCATGGCATCCAAGTGCACCAGGAGGAAGGTGCCGAGCATCCTGATGTGGGGGACCCCCCCCATGTCCTCTCTAGTCCGACCCTCGTTGGACCCTTGTGGAGCGTCGCCGCCGCCGCCGCACCAGGAGGAGTCGTGCATTGTGAGTCCTCGGCGGTAGATCATGTTTGTGAGCGCCCCCTAACTGCCCCAGGGAGTTGACGACGGTCCGCTCGAAATCTGGCGGGGTCGCCGCCAGCCGTGTCGATCACCTCGTCGCCCGCGTGGGTCGCCTGCGTCTTGCTGTGCCTGACTGATCTCGTCCGCGATCGCGTGATTCGAGCGCCGCTCCTGCTTGACTCTCTGCTGGTACTGCCTGGCTTTGACTAGGTTCTGTCCGTTCATCTCGCCCTGGGCGATCAGCGCGCTGATGCGGGCCATCCAAACGTGTGGATGCGGGATGCTCAGCTCCCCCAGCTCTGATGTCAGTTGGCCAGCCACGATCTGGTCCTTCTTGTCCTTTCTGATCCTCGTCGCCTCTGGGCCGTAGTACCTCGCCATGAGCCGCTTGGACTGGACGACGTCATTCTCGGCTAACATCTGCACTTGCCTGTACACGGCGGCCTCTAGGTGTGCGAGCCATGGCTCGCGATGTAGCTTTATGCGCGCCTCCACTGGGAAGACCGCCTGGTACCACTCTATCGGCATCCCGTCTAGACCTTCGACGTCTTGCCGCTCCTCGTCGAAGTGCGCGTCCGAGGTGTCCCACGCTGCTTACGGGGGGTCTTGTCCTCCTCCCGGGTGCAGCTGAGGTGGAGGGCGCTGCTGTTGGTCCTGTCGGCGTGCCGGTCTCCTCGGTCCGCTTCCCTCGTGGCTGTGCGTTCGGTCCCTGTCTCCGCGCTGGCGCCCTCGTAGCTCTTGCTGCCGCTATTTTGTCCCAATGCTCCAGGTACGATCCGCTGATGTCGACTTCGAGGTGTATCTCTGGTGGCGGAGGGGCATGCACCTCTCTGATATGTGTGTCTGCAGGGCCGAGAGGGTCGCAAACTCGCCTTGAGCCCGAACGACTCCAGTGCTGAGGAGCCTCTCTCTGTGAACTGCGTGTGCTGTATCGGGATCTAGGCAGACTGGACAGTAGAGGACCTCCAGAGCCTTCAGGACGGGGGAGTACGGGCTGAATTCTGCCAGGCACCTTTTCTGTTCCAATGACTGGGCCTCGTGTCTTGTGGCTAGTACGTCCGAGGTCAATGTTCATGAGCAGTAGAAACGCTGGTTAGTCACGATGAGCTGATGTATAGGCACCCGACGTTTTTGTGCAGGATGGTGGCGCTGGTGAGCCCTCATAGCACCCCTGGAGGCAAAGGCGTCATTGCAGGGCTCGCCGTCCTATAGGGGCAGCGCACACACACATCTATTCTTGCGGTGGTAGCTCAGGCATTGGTGGGACCACAGGAGCACGAGGATCTTGTGGAGGCAGAAGGGAGAGATGAGAGGCGTGGTCCCAGGAGGCCCTTGGGGTCGATGCTGGCGAACGCTAGGGCCACCCTATAGTTCGTGAGCATGTCTCTAATCGAGTGCCCCTGGTCCAAGAAGAACATGCCTTGCGGAATGACGCGCAGCGTGAGGATAACAGTCTGCATCAGAAGAGCCCAGGGGTTCGGTTTTTGGTCGATCCACCCTCCCTCGTTAAAGGCGGGAGCTTCATTCAAAGACTGAAAGTGTCCAACTAGAGATGCGACTGCCTGCACAGATGCATCGGCGTACTGGGCCAACCGCTGCCAGTACATAATCCTGCGCACGAGAAGCTCCGTCCTCGCGTCTGCAATGCGCAGGCGTCTGTGCAACTGCCAGACTGCTGGTATACGAATCTGTTCCGCGCCGTCTGCATCGTTACGTCGAGCACGCCCCCAACAGCAACTTTAGCGAACCCCAGGATGACGGAGTCTAACTCGGCATAGCCCCTTTTGGAAAGGATTTAGGTCTCGAGGCCCGAGTCGGCCGCGCTATGGAGAATCCCCAGGAAGGCCATGCGTTTTATCCTCAGGGAAACCTGCTGTGTCCAGAACCTCTCCAGCTTGCACCAGGCCAAACGAGTCGAAGAGACACGAGCTCGAACTTCGGCCCCCGCACCTCCAGTGAGTTGTTCTACTCCCCAGAGGTGCACAGCTTGTGCCCGAGGTTGCCCCAGAAACGAAACGAGTCCTGACAGATGATGGGTCTGTCTTCCACCACCACCATAAGTTGGAGGGGGGAAGGAGGAGGAGGAGGAGGAGGGGGGAAGGAGGAGGAGGAGGAGGAGGAGGAGGAGGAGGAGGAGGAGGAGGAGGAGGAGGAGGAGGAGGAGGAGGAGGACGAGGACGAGGAGGAGGAGGAGCAGGAGGACACCCTCCCCCTCCAGTTTGAGGTGGTGGTGGTGAAAACAGGCCTATCAACAGAACGGCCCTGGTGGCCGTGTAGCTCCCTGTGCCGAAGACGACGGGAAAGGACGATTCGCTTATCAGCATTTTGGGTTGTGGGCTCCCAGCTTGTGCGCCAGGAGGTCAGATGACCTCGTCGGCAGGCCTGCAGCTCGGATCGGGTTCGAGTCGGGGAGGGGCAGAGTCCGGGAGACGTCGTCGGCGTAGTCCCGCATGGAGAGGTCCACGAGCTTGTCCGAGCAGGGGCAGTGGATAAGGGTGGCCGCCTCGACCTTCGAGAGACCTCCGCTCCGTTGTCGAGGGTGAGGATCTCGCTGCTTTCCGTCATGAGCGTGGCGTTCCAGTCCTCGATGGGGGCGGGTGCAGGAGCGGACGAACGGCTCGCACGCGCTGTCGTTGCCCATGCCAGCGCCATGCCTGTGAACGTCGTAGGCCGTCTCGTCACCCGCGCGCACCTCCATGACAGCCTCCGTGTGGCGCTGCCTCAGGAACAGCTGGTCCTGCATGTCAGGGATGATCTGGCCCGCCACGTCCTCGAGCACAGAGTGTGCTGAGGGGAAGGCGTTGCTCATGTCCTTCTTTAGCTGCAAGCGGTTAACCTTGAGCTTCTTCAGCCTCCAGGAATGAATTCTCGAGAGAGCTGAGCTCCCTATCCCTGTCAAGCTCGGTGCCTGGCGTAGCCATGCGCATGATGCCGTAGCGGTGGCTTGCGATGGTGCGTGAGGATGGCGCGGCACCAGACCTTGCCGAAGGGGCAGAAGCAGTGAGCCAGCCTCATGGCCCTCGTCCCGATCTTGTCATTGCCCTTCGTGAACTGAAAAGTCCTAGACCAGTGCCGCCAAGCAGGGGTACGGCATGTCATGCGTATCTGTCGGAAGAAGGCCAGGAGGCGCTCCGCCAGTCTACAGTCGGGCCGCTGAATAAGGAACACTTGCTTTTCAAAAGGGCCTCGGTCGTTCTTGAGGTTTGCATGCGTGCCGCTCCTTTTTTGGCGGCGAGCCCCCCTCCGGTATTCCTTCGGACTTCATGGACTTGTTCGGGAATTAAGGGCCTCGTTCCTTATGTAACGATCCTTAGGTCAGCCGCCCGACGGTTGGACATCGCACGTGTGGAGGTAGCTGCCTTGGGACTCGATCGTCTGGTACACCGGTGGGCGGAGGAGGAGGAGGCGGAGGAGGAGGAGGAGGCGGAGGAGGAGGAGGAGGAGAAGGAGGAGGAGAAGCAGGAGTAGCAGGAGGAGGAGGAGGAAGAGGAGGAGGAAGATGATGATGGTGCTGATGCTGCTGATGATGATGATGATGATGATGGTGGTGGTGGTGGTGATGATGATGATGATGAGGAGGAGGAGAAGGAGGAGGAGGAGGAGCGAGCGGGACCTCCGCCGGGGGCCGACCGTGCAGGGGGAGAAGCGCCCACGGTCTGCCTGCCCACGCGCCTCGGGCGTCGCCGCCCAGTCGTCGTAGGCCGTCGCAGCAGGTCTCCCCCTCGGCTCTTTTCGGAGGTTGATGAGCCTCCTGCCCTGACACGTGGATTAGCGAATTGGCCGTTTTCGGTTCGCGAGAGGGCGTCGCGGCCGTAATTTTTGCGCGTCCAGGTCCGTCGGTTTCTGTGCTAGGCCGTTTTCGCTACAGGGTGGTTCACTAAAGGGAGGTTTGTCCACCGCCGATCTTTCGATTCTCCGTCTGGGCCATCTTGCGCGCGCACTGGAGGCCCATGCCAAGAAACACCCTGCCTGCCTCCAGGGTGCCCGGGGTTTCCTGGGTTTTGATGGGTTTGCCGTGGAGACCGTGGCGTTTCCACACCAGAAGGCAATGGACGCCCTGGGGTCTCAGGGTTGGGTCTCTAGTGGAAGGTTTCTTGCGGTCGAGCCCCTGCTGCAGTTCGAGGGTAAGCTGTGCAGGGAACTCCTGGGTCGGGTGCTTGTGCTGCTGAGGGGCCTCCGTGCGGGGCCGCGGCCAGCGTGGTGCCGGACCACGCGTCGATGGTAGGCTGGTGGTGCGGAGTCGTATGGAAGCGTCGTCGTCTAACCCCATGACTCGGCGGCGGGCGAGGGGGGGAAGTGAGACGGAGAAGGGCTTCTCAGAAGGTTCGGAGTTTCCCTGGCCTTCTGAGGATGAGGAGGGGGAGGAAGGAGGAGGAGGAGGAGGAGGAGGAGGAGGAGGAGGAGGAGGAGGAGGAGGAGGAGGAGGAGGAGGAGGGCGAGGAGGAGGAGGAGGAAGAGGTGGAGGAGGGGGAGGAGGAAGAGGGGGAGGAGGAGGAGGAGGAGGAGGAGGAGGAGGAGGAGGAGGAGGAGATACGCGACTCCGATTGCTCCACCACGCTGGCCCGCTCTGCTGCCAGCCGGCTGGCCCGCACAACGGCCAGCCGCAGCGCCTCGCGACCAAGCGCCACCAGTGTATTGCGCAGGGCAGATCTCGGGAACCCTATGCGCTTTCATGCGCCGCGGGGCCTTGCGGCGTCTCGGCGTTGCGGTCAGCAGGGGTCCTTGCCTGAAGGATGACGAGAGGAGCAGCAGCAGCAGCAGCAGCAGCAGCCGCCGCCGCCGCCGCCGCCGCCGCCGCCGCCACCGCAGCAGCAGCAGCAGCAGCAGCAGCAGCAGCAGGAGCAGCAGCAGCAGCAGCGGCGGCGGCGGCGGCGGCGGCAGCAGCCAGGGCGAGGGGGAGGAGGGGGAGGCGGAGCAGTCGCTCGCCATGGTCAGTGGGAGGCCCCCAGCGCAGACCGTGCTCCGCCGCGCCAGGCTGCGTTCCCGCGCACGTGCTGGGTCAGTGCTCCCGCGCCCTCTTGCGTGCACGTCGTCAGCCCTCGGCTTGGCTCGGAAGAGTCCCGCAGGGGATGAACCGCCAGCCCGATTGTGACAAGGGGCTGCACCAGCCCGCCTCGGCCGCCCGGCCCGGCTGCCCCAGCGATCGGGGGGCCATGCCGGTGCCCCCGCCGCACCCGCGCCCGCGCGCGCAGAGGCCGATGGCCACGAGGGCTTCACTCTCGACGACGTGCAGTTTGTCCAGGCGGTCGCCGCTCGGGGAGGCGGGGAGGTCAACGTGGCAGGGAAGAGGAGGTGGAGGGAAATGAGGGAAAACTTGCGGACGAGGGGGGAGGGGCTGGGGGAGGGAAGTGATTGAGGAGGGTGAACGGGAGGATCGCCACTGTGACGATGGATGGGGGCATGATAACGAGGAAGTGGATCTGATAATCTGATGGCGATGGTGATGTGATGATGATGACGATGGTGTTGGTGATCGTGTTGACGATGATGTCGATGATGATGCTGATGATGCTGCTGATGATGATACGGATGGTGATAGGAAGACGATGAGGATGATGATGATGAGGAGGAGGAGAAGGAGGAGGAGGAGGAGGAGGAGGAGGAGGAGGAGTAGGAAGGGGACTGAGGGCGAGAAGGAGGGAGATTAGGAGGGAGATGAAGGACCAAATGGGGGAGTGAGGACGAGGGCAAGGCGAGACATGATGTTGATTCTGAGCAGGTTGAGGAGGACGAGGAGGACGAGGAGGAATGGGGGAGAACGAAGATACTTGGGAGGAGGATGGGGACCGTGCGAATCCCACGTTTACATTGGAGTATGTATGTGTACATGTACATGTATATGTGCAGGTGTACCCATGTGTATACATATGTGGTTTGCGTGTATATGTATGTATGCATGCATGTATGTATGTCTGTATGTCGGTATGTACGTAGGCGTACACATATGTATATATGTGCGTACGTGCGTATGCATGTGTGTATGTATGCACACGCCCGTACACATACATGTATTTACACATGCTCATATATGATTTGTGCCTGCACGGTTTATCCCTCATCTAAGTGCTTCTGCAGTTCTTTTCTCGAGCCGCAGGCCTGCATGGCTTGGGGTAGCCCGCATTTCTCCACCCTCGCACGAGAACTTCTCGCGGCATCGGCGGGCGGGTGGCTCTCGCGAGCCCCGGCGCCTGCGGCGCCGCTCTGTGTCTGCGAGCCACGGCTCGAGTGCCCGGCCTGCTCGCTGGGCTGTGCGCCGTGCCCGGAGCGCGCGGCGGAGTGCCCGGCGGTGGTGTGCCAGTGCACGCCGGCTGGGTTCGCGGCGCCGGAGTGCCCAACGGCCTCGGCGCCCTCTGGCGGGGGCTGGTCGCTCTCGCTGGCGTTCAGCGGCTGGGGCCTGCTGCCGCTCGCGTTCCTCGGAGGCCGGCTGACGGCCGGCTGCTGGCGGCCAGGGCGCCCTCCGAGAGCGCCGCAGCCGGCGCTGGAGGTGGGTGCGCACAGCATCCTCCGCTCGGGCTGCCCGAGCGCCCGCCGCGACGCAGGCCAGTGCCTCCTCGTCGCTCTCTGTGTCGTCGGGCTCGGCGGCCTGGGACCCCTCGACGGGCGAGCCCCCCCCTGGCGTTCTCGGCGGAGCCGCTGAGTGCCTGGTCAGGGTTAGCCTGGCATTATGGCGAGAGCGCCGGACATCCACGAGACCATGGTCGCCATCAATTTCGACGACGACGACCACTTCAGATGGCACCTGCGAGTCCTGGCCCATCGTCTGGACGACCTCCGCTGGATAGCGTTCTCGCCGGACCTGGAGGTGCTGGTTCTCGACCTCTCCCGGCACATCGTGGTGCCGGTCCCCCGAGGTGCTCCGTACCCAGCGCGCATCGCGCGCAACGTCTACACCGTCGACCAGTTCGACGAGGCGGCGCTGCAGACGTCCCGCCAGGAGGCGGCGGCCCTCGCGGATGCGCTTCACCCAGCGGGAGCTGGGGAGGCTGGTCCTGTTGCGGCGGCCGCCACACTGACGATGGAGTGGAGGTTCGCGGACACGGCGTACGACAAGTTCGGGGAGATCGTGCCGGTCGAGATCACACGCAATGCTCTGAGGAAGGTTATCAAGGGCAGCGCGGGCCTGGCCGAGGTCGAGGAGCAGGGGGATCGCTTCTGGACCTTTGCGGAGCGGGTCGGCAACCAGGACATGGAGGAGTGGCGCGAGGAAAAGACCAGTGGCCGCGGCCGGGACGCCCGCATCCTCCCCATCCAGCGGGACCTTGGCCGGTCCCGCTTCGCCAAGCTCAAGGATGCGCTCGCCGAGATGACTTTCCTAGAGGAGACGCCGCCGGCCGACTGGCCGTTCGCAGGCCCGCAGGCCATCAAGGAGGTGCTGTTGGCGGCCCGTGCTGCGAACGAGGACCTGACCGGCTTCCACGAGCACTGGGTCAGGTCTTCGGGCGTCGACCCGGATCATCCGGTGTCGCTCAAGCAATGGGATCTGCTATCAGTATTACATCACCTGGTGGCCTTCGACCAGCTGAACGCCGGCCAGCTGGCGGGCGCAGAGATGTGCGCACGCCTGTTTCTCCAGATCCACCAGGCCGTGGCCCGCTCGCCCAAGAAATCCCGTGTTCCAGGGTACCTCGCTCATGGTGATGAGCTCGTTGGACTCCACCGGCGGCGTCCTTACGGGGACGTTCGCAAGGTGGGCGGCGGACGAGCAGAAGTCGCAGGCCTTCACCATGAAGCAGCAGAGGTTGTACCAGGAGGAGGAGGAGGAGGACAAGCGCAGGGGGCCCTCGGACAAGGGCCCCAAAGGCGGCAAAGAAAAGGGCAAGTGACTGAGGCAGCCTGCTTCGGTCGCTCGGGGCCGGGGCCGACCCTGTCATCATGGTGGTCGGGGCTGGCCTTTTTCCGCTACCCCTGCGCCTTCCTGAGGTGGCGGAGAGTGGAGGTGGTGCCCGCCACCTGGCCCGGGGGCGGCGCCGGCAGGCGCGATCTGACGAGCTGGTGGAGGGGGCCGTGGCGTCTCTCAACGCCTTGGCTTGCTGTCAGCCGGGGCGGGCGCTCGTGCTCGAGCCGCCCAGCCGCATTTCTCCCCAGGGCATCGCCGCCGCGCAGGACGGGATGATCAACAACATCGGACGCGCAGTGGCGCACATCCTCCCCCCGCCGGACTTCAACGCCGAGTTTCCGGAGGGGGCTCTTCAGGAGATCATCGAGTGTAAGTCAATCTACGACGTGGACGACGATGGTTCAGTGGCGGCGCGCGGCCCGAGCAAGCTGGCGGTCCTGCATCGGTCTGGCGTTCCCGTTAATGCCCTGGACCTGGTGGGTGACGAGTGCCGTCCGTACCTCGAAGACCCCGACTCCTTCATCGTGCTGCCGCCGGAGGAGCTGGCCTCGGTCGTGGACCCCGTGGTGCCGCACTGGGACCCCAAGCTCGGCGGCTCGCTGGAGGCGCGCCGGGACTTTGTGCGCCGTCTCGATCGAGGGGGCCTCATCTCGTGGAGGAGACGGGAGCGCTGCCGGGTTGGAGCATTCTTCGTCAAGAAAAAGGGCGATGCGACCAGGCTCGTGCTGGGCTGCAGGCCGACCAACCAGCTCCACAGACGGCCGCCGAAGTCCGACCTCGCCACGCCGGGTGCGCTCTCCAACCTCGTGCTGTCGGAGGAGTGGTGCCGACTGTCGGCGGGGGGCCTCCCCGCGCGCGGCCGAGGCGCAAAGGGCGTCGACGTGCTCGACCTCTCGTGCGCGGGCGTGGACCTCAAGGATGGCTTCTACCAGTTCCGCGCGGACAGCGTCGCGTCGTGGTTCTCGTTGGGCGTGTCGTCGGCGGCCTCGGACATCGGTGTCACTGAGGTTTACGATGACGAACAGCTCACCGTCGTCCCCGTGGAGGGTCAGGAGCTCCTCTGGGCGTGTTTTGGAGGCTTGCCGATGGGTTGGAGCTGGGCGATGTTTTTCTGCCGCGGCAACCTGGGGGCGGCGTCGCGCCGAGCTTGCGGCGGCTGGGGCTCCCCGAAGCCACTCTCAAGGACTGGGGGCCTCCGCCGCCGTTCGGCAGGGCCGCCGCCGTCGTCGCCCCCTACGTCGACAACGGCAACATCATCGGCGGCAGCCCTGGGGCCGCGCTCAGGCTCTTCCACGCGCTGCGCGAGGAGCTCACCTCCATCGGCTTCCTGCTCCACGAAGAGGCGGAGCCCGCCTCGGACTACGAGCTCGTCGGGCGGCAGATCCGCGGGCGGCGGCGCTGCCTCATCCCGAGGCCGCGGCGGATGTGGCGGCTGTGGCTGGCCCTCGACGAGGTCTGCCAGGTTCGGCGCATCTCGCCCGCCCAGCTGCGCCGCATCATCGGCCACCTTGTGGACCATTTCAGCGTCAGGAGGGAGCTCCTCAGCTGCCTGTGCTCGGTCTACCAGTTCGTGGGCGACGGGCTGGGGCCGCCGCGCGTGCTGGACAGCGCCGTGGTCGTGGAGCTGCGGGTGGCGCAGGGCCTGATGGCGCTGGCGGTGTCGGAGCTCGGGAGAGGTATCGCCACGGTGGCGTACTGCTCGGGCTCCAGCATGCGGGGCTTCGCGCTCCGCATCACGGACACCGACCCGCGAGAGGCCTGGGCCGCTGCTCAATACCGCGAGAGGTGGAGGTTCAAGGAGGCTGATCCTCTACCGCCACCTGATGATCGACGAGACGATCTGCGAGGCGCGCTGGCGCCAGGAGCCGAGGGTGCGGTGCTCACCGGCGCTTTTACAGTCTATGCGCATGACCGCCTCCTGGCCGACCCGTAGCCGTCGGGGCCCGCCGCGCTCGCCATGGTCGAGCCCCACCTCGTGGAGGTCGTCGGCCGCGTTCCCCGGCTGGAGCCTAGCTGGGGTTGGCCTGGCCGCTGGCGGGCCGTCGCGTTGGGGGCCTGGAGGAAGCCTGACAATATCCACAACCTCGAGGCCCGAGAAGCTCTCATGGGCCTCGAGGATTTCAGCAAAGATCCTGCCAACCACTCTCGCGTGCTGCTCTCACTCGGGGACAGCATGTCCGAGGTCTTGGCCTTGGACCGCGGGCGGGCTCGCTCCTGGGAGCTGCTGGCCCTCGCCCGGAGGGCCGCCGCTCTGCAGGCAGCCGCGAACGTCCGCTGGGCCCGCAGGCACATCGAGACCGAGCGCAACCCCAGTGACTACGGCTCGCGGCTGCCGCACCTCCGGCCAGACGAGGTCCGCCGAGGCCGAGGTGCAGAGGGCCTTGGCGAAGGCCGCCTCCGCCTGC